AACAATGAATCATGGAACACTTCATCTAAAACTAATGATGTAATGTATGGGGATTAACATAAGAATAAAAAAAAAAAAAGAAATAGAATGTCACCAAAGGTATGCCTTGTGAGTACATAGGAGAGCTTAGTCAGTACTGCATAGTAGAGTGCTGTTCAGACAAGCCATGGTACAAAAGGCAAGAGAATCCTGCAATAACTGAGTGCTGTTACTAGATATCCTCAGATATTATTGTGATGTGGTATTCATAACAGCCAATTTAGTGAATGTTTACCATGTGCTCTAAACTTACATATATCACCTCATATTCTCCTTAAAATTGCCTCCTGATGATTCTCCCCATTTAATCAAACCAGGCTTAAATGATTTTCCAGTTCCCACAAGTGACAAGTGGCAGAGCTGAGATTCAAAGCCTCTAGTCTAACTTCAAAGCCCATGAGACTCATTGTATTGTAATGTTTGCTGGCCATGGCACTGTTCAGGTCTGTTGCCAAATAACCTAAAATTCAAAGCTGTAGTATAAATAAAACAAATATGAGAAACACTATTTCCAGCCCTGTGAGACTATAAGCTGTTTCTTCAACCTGCATTGCACTTTCGTGTCTGTACCTAAAATGCTCTTCCCCATTTGCCTTCAAGTCCCAGCTCAAATGCCAGTGTCTCTGGGCCAGGCAGGCGACCTAGAGACTAGCAGAATGAACAGCTTCCTGCTGCGTGCCCCTCCAGCAAGTCACCTCCATCTTTCTCGTAGGATTCATCCCAGTCTCTGGCCTGTGTTAGGTGCCAGTGTGCATCTTTCTGCCTTTCCTGCCAGATTACAGGCACCATGTGTAGTGGGCTCCAGAGACAGAGCGAGTCTGGAAGTCTAACTCTGCCACTTACTATTTGCCTCACCTTGAACAACCTCTTTAACTCTGTGAGGCTCAGCTTCCTCAGATGTAAAAGGAGGAATGTAAAAAAAACTTGACAAAGTTGATGTAAGTTACGTGCAGTCCCTGGCCACAGTTTGCCTTCAACAAACGTAAATTCTCTTCTCCTCTATGAGGAGGGAGATCATTTCTTATTGCTTAAGCCCAGTGCCTTTCTTGTTATTGGAACTCAATACATATTTGTGGATTGAATAAATAAATGCATAATTGAATGAATTAATGAGAGAACATATGCTCTATACAATGATATTTCCATTTTGTTTTGCCTTTCCCACATGTATCCATCTGGCAAATTTTTCTAGGCTGATAATTTTTGCAAGAATACTCCCCAAAGCTAATCTGTTTGCAAGTCTGCTTGAGGAGCATGTTAGCACATCACTTCTCTTCTCAGTTTTGCTTTTATCTCTTTTGTCTCTATGTGGTGAGAGGAACTGTGACTCCCTGTAACTATGAAAATGTAGAGTCAATTTTTGGACGCTACTGTTTTTCTAGGTCTGTAGCACTCTACCTGCCCTACTGCCCTCACCATTCTATGATTTTTAGCTTGA